TGCAAAATGTCAAGGAGAAAATAACAGCAAACATTCTTGAACACTTTAGGGTCCTAATGAAAGGATGGGTTAAAGGATAGCCATTGTTGGATTAGTCACATCACTTTGGTCCAGATTGAAAAATCTCAACAACTATTGAATGGTAAATGGACTTTTTTAAATGGACTATTTTATACTTTTCTAGTCTTACTCACCACTCAAAGCGCTTTACAATACTTGCCACATTCACCCCTTCACCCACACATTCATACATCACAGTCACACACTGATGGAACAGCCGTCAGGGGCAAGGTGAGGTTCAGTATCTTGCCGAAGGACACTTCGACACGCAGACTGGAGGAGCCGGGATTGAACCACCGACCCTCTAATTAGTGGGACGACCCACTCCACCTCCTGAGCCACAGCTGCCCCTATTGGATAGATTGCCATCAAATTTTGCACAGACATCCATGTTCCCCAACAATGAATCCTGCTGATTGTGGTGATCACCTGACTTTTCCTCTGGCACCACCATGAGGTTTACATCTGTGTTGTTTTTTTTTTTTTTTTGGGAACCTGTAGTGTTAACTTTTGTCTCCCCCCTCTGGCAGTGAGAGTAATTACACAAACACACTTCCACAGTTCCAAGATAATAATTCATTATTTAGGTAGAGTAAGTGTAATAATTATATATGCCTACTCCAAATATTTTACAGATGCCAACCTGTCTAAGAGCAGTAAGGCGACATCCATGTCTGTCCTCAGTCTCTTCTCTTTGTTCAGCACTGTCCAACAAGAAAAAGCCACGCCAGTCCGTGTTTGTCCTCGCCGTCGATCGCTTTCTTTTATTAGACTGAAATCCTTCCTCTGAACACCAAGATTTTACTTGGAGCATCAGAAACTTTACTCCTAGGTTTTTCCACCATGCTCCTAGTTGCTGTTGACCAGTCACCACAGACGGGAGATTTAAAACTCAGGTATACTGCTGAGTACTATATTATTGATAGGAATGATGGCAAAACTCCAAAAATAACACCCAAATTGTAATAAACCCTTACAACTTCACAACTTGGGTCCCTTTAAACTTGACAAAACACTTTACCAGAGTATGCTTGGATGCATATCATTGTATAACAGTGGGATAGCTCCACTATTGAATGATGTTAAGCTGATGTTGCCCTTGCAGTGAGTTACTCGGCACAGAGCAGAGATGGCCGTGGCTGCTTGGTTTCAATGGCTTCACTGCGTTACTTCAGCTCACCACCCTCCCCCTCCTGCCAGAGTCGCCCCGTTTCCTGCTCCTGGACAGAGGAGACCGCCTGGCCTGCGACAAAGGTGTGAGGAAGCACTTTTTTTAGCTTTGTGGGATCTTTTCCACAAGTAAGACCTTTTTCCAAGTTTGTGATCTTAACACTGTTGTGATGTCAAGTGGTGTTATCACCACCCAAATCTGCTGCTTTGTCATGCTCCCTCAGCTTTAAAGAGGTTATGGGGCAACAAGGACTACAGCACGGAGGTGGAGGAGATGATGAAGGAGAAAGCTGCCCTGCAGAGCATCCACAACCACTCAGTGATGGAGCTGATTCAGAACCGAACAGTCCGCTGGCAGCTCCTCACCATCATTGTGTACTTCACCACACTGCAGCTCTGTGGCATCAACGCTGTGAGTTAGATGAAACACACTCCAAGCTCTTTTTTGCAGATGTTGTTAAGTGTACATTGAGATACAGGACATGCTTTGCATCATCTGACACTTCACCTCTTTATCTTTAGATAATGTAGTGTGCAGAATTAATGATCAGCTTTAGACCTGTATGTCCCAAACACAAGGACTATTGATTCTGTCTGACTTTTAGTGTTTACATTTGGAAGCGTCAAAGTCACACAGATAGGTGCAATGGGTGGTCTCAGGGAAAGTTGCAGGACGCACTCGAGGAAAAAACACTCTTGAAGTGCTCTTGAAGACAAATGGGTTGAAATCCAGAAAACACAAGCAAAACATAAATAAACTTATACTCATGCATGTAGCAGGAGGAATGTGGAAGTTTTTTTTTTTTTTTTTTTACATTTTCAAATGGATATGATGAATAGACTTGTGAACAGTGACGTTTAGTAACAGTCAAACAAACAAACAAAAAAACTCACACATCAATCATGCTTTTTAAATATTAGTTGAAAATATTTATTTTCAAAAATAGAAAACGAGTGAAATACTGCTCCCCTCCACTTCATCCTGCCCTGCATGCTAAAGCAAAACAAAGGATGTAAACATGTCTACATTTTAAAAGTCTTTTATTTTGGGGTTTACTTTCCAGGTGTACTTTTATTCTTTTGATGTGTTTCGTGCGGCAGGAATCCAAGAACAGCAGTTACGTTACACTGCTTTGGGAACAGGGCTGTGTGAGTTGTCCACCTCTGTCGCTTGTGTAAGTCTCATTTCACTGATATCCCATCATGATTTATATCTGCTTTATGTTCTATTAGTGTCAATGATTTTATAGTGTAATATCCTTTACGCATCCTGACATGAATGTGTTTTTTGTACATTTCTTTTAGCAATTTAGGAGAACAGTTATGGAAAAAAAAAACTTCCTCCTGCCTACGCCTGTCCTAATGTGTAGTTAGAGCTTCCCCATGTGGTTTGCTGGTGAAACTGTTTTCATGTTGGCAGTTCATGATTATTGAGAACATGGGGAAAAAAGTCCTGCTGTTCAGAGGATACATGGGAATGTCTGCAACACTGGTTCTCCTCACCATCACTGTGTACCTGCAAGTGAGACACCACAACATCAGCCGCTGGTCGCAGCACATTTTGATGATTAAAGCATGACGAGTGACGACTGATTGCAACTGAAATCCCTCATAAATGTATGCAATCCAACACATCTTTGTATTTTCCTCAGACCCAGGTTTCCTGGATGCCGTACTGCAGCATGGTTCTTATTTTCTTATTCATATTCTTTTTTTCCAGTGGACCAGGTATGTTTATTACTCGAGATCTTAGCTTATTTATCAAGGATTTCAATTTTAATCATTTTCCACTTTTGAATCGACACTGAGGTGTATAAATCGCTCCAATGTTCTTGCCCCTCAGCGGGAGTTACAGCTCCTCTTCCAGGAGAAATCTTTACTCAGTCATTTAAATCAGCTGGATACACCATCGCTTGCACTATCAACTGGACAGGCCTGTTTGTGCTGGGAATGCTCTTCCCAATCATAGTGGTAAGCACATTGTTTTCTCTGTAAAGTTTTGCATGTTTTTACCAGAGGCCAGTGGATAGGAGTGATCAGACAGGTGAATTGAGATTAAATGCATCACTCTCACTGACTCACACATGGCCTTCAAATTCCTTTCTTTCCAGGAGTATCTGGATTACTTCTGCTTTCTCATTTTCCTGATCTTCTGCACCGCCTGTGGGCTGTATGTGAGGTTCAACGTCCCTGAGACCAAGAATCGCACAGCCCTGGAGATCGCTGCGGAGTTTGAGAGGATGCACTGCAAATCTGGAGAATCAAAGGATAAATCCACTGACCCAGCAAAACTCAGCGAAACCATAACATGTGAGACCAAATTCTGATTATATTCACCATGTTCAAATAAGCTGGAAAATATGTAGAAGAAGAAGTCACTTCATGTCAGACTGACCATATGTCCTATACCATGAGATTAAAATGTGACTCTGCTGTCTTTTATGACTTGTCCTGTTTTTCTGTCCACTAGAATCCTCACAGTGTGTGTTTGTGTTCTTATGTTAGTGGTGATCCCCTATTATTGAACTTTAAAGTGGCTATTAGAGGCAGTGGACAGACAAGTCTGTTCATCTTTGTCCTTTTAGCTTGAAACAAGGTTTGGCCCGGGAGGTTATCAGTGGGGTCTGCGTGTTTAACCTCTGGCTACACAGATAGGCATCTGAACATCCAGTGACCAGTTACATAAACTTCAAGCTGCCTGCAGCACAAATCGCCTAAAGTGAGGGGTGGTCACATTTGCATTGTGTGTTTATCTACAAGAAATGTGTGTTTAGCTGCTACTGGAAAAGCAGTGGTGGAATATAACTAAATACATTTACTCAGTTTTGAGGTACTTGTACTTTATGTGAATATTTCAATTTAATGCAACTTTATACTTCTATTCATTTCTCACACAAATATTGTATTCTTTACTTCACCACATTATTTGCCAGCTGTAGTTAGGCCACTAGTTACTTTACAATCAATATTTTTATACACAAATCATAGCATAATCTTATAAAATACAAAAAATAAAGTATATACAGTACAGTAAAGTAGTTAAAATTACCTTGACCAGCTGTAACAATGAAATGATGCTCACACATTCCAACTATTATAATCTATTACTATAATATTTAATAATTGAACACTGACAAGCATTTCTGCCTGTGTAATAGCTACTATGTAGGCGAGTATAGTATAGGTGTAATGTGCACATTAAAGTCCCAGCACACAAGAACTTACAGGACAAACTTTAATAAGAAGAACTCATGGTACTGGGAAGTGAGGCCTTTAAATCAGTGTGTAATGAGCAATAAGAAAGACTCCTCTATGTCACCTGTATTTCTCTTCAGGGAGACCGTTAACCCTGTATGTGTGTCTAGGTAATATTGGTGTAACTGAATATTAATGCACACAGAGATCACACTGACTTTTGGTTGCATTCTGCTCTTGACAACACTGTAGAGGTTTTTAATGAGACATGTTGGTGTTTCGGGTTTGCTCTCTAACTCCTTTTTACGCAAATGTTGCTGATATCACGTTTATGATTCCGCTTTTGCTGAAACTAAAACCCACACGAATCATTTAAATATCTGGAACCTTTTTTCTGCTTTGATGTCGCAGCGGGACTGACAGTCACCGCGGAAACTCCAACCAGTTACGCAGGCGTGCAGCCGCGACACATGTGTGCGCCTCTGATAACACAATCTACTCGTTCAAAGCTAAACGTGTTGCACGACTAGTTTGGGACAAATGCAGAAGTCGAGAGGCCGGATCCGCGTACTCCGCAGCAGTTGACATCACCAAGTAGTTAAAAAAAAAAAAAAAAGAAAAGTCACAGGGAGGAGTTTGAGCCACCGTTGCAAAACTGAAAACAACACACAGGTCCACGCCTTCAAGTGTGTAAATTTGGTGATTTAAATGCCCCTCCAATGACTGACCGCAGAACAGTTGCGTGTGCACATAAGTCACGGGAGCAGGACAAAAGCTTCGTTTACAGTTTGCAGATACCAATGGATGCAATGGACACAACCCCCAGCAGCTCCCCTGATGGGCCCAGGGTGAAGAGAGGCTTTGACCAAAAGTGAGTTCATTTATTTGAAGGTAATATCACATATATACTCAGAAGTTAACAACAGCACCAACTTAAGACACCTCAGCTCACATGCTCAACACGAAGTTAAGAATTCGTTAGTTTTGAGTTGAGTTTGCTCATGTTCATCTTTTGTAAACTCCAGGTCCAGAGAATGCTTCTTTCTATATTTTTTTAAACATATTAGTATTCAGATATTATTTTCTCTGATGTTACAATAACAATTACAAATGAGACAATAATAATAATGGTCTATTCTCCACCAGTCTCTACTGTCTAACACTCCTCCCCTGCTTCTATGCCTTGAAGGTTTGTACCTTATCACTAAATATTTTAACCAGTAGATATTGAAACCAGTAGCCCCCCTCCTCTGTGAGTGCTCCAGCATCAGATTCACCCTCTCCTCGCCAGCTTTTATTTGCTGGATTGATCTCAGGAGAAAGAACCTTGATGCTCTGCAGCAACACGCTCACAAAACAAGAGCTTGCAGGTAAATTATTTACAGCAACTCTATATGTATGAAGTGTCAGGCAGTGTTGAGATGGAGCCATCCAGACTGGACGTGCTGCAGATAGGCCTCTCTGCCTCTGTCAGGGTGTCACTGATAAAGAGGAGCATCTTGGAACGGGTAATACAGGAAACCACGTACAGTTACACCAGTCTGTACAAACACATAATGGCTCTTTTTAAAAAAAAAAATTTTTTTTATTGGATACTCTGCTGGTAATTGGCTGTCATTTGAAACAGTGGTGGAGATAGGTGAGGACTGTGATAACATCTCTAGGCTCCACCCAGCTCCACCCCCGCTGTGGGGAATTTGTGGGGGAGGAAATAGCCAAAACCAGAACACGGTAACTGAGGTCGAAGTGTTTGATTTGATTTGATTTTTTTTTTATTGGGGATCTCTCTAAGCCCAACTGGGCTTTCCTCCAAGTGAATTGTAGATGGAGTTCCTTAATTAAAAAAAAAAAGTTTCAGTGATGGGAAAAGAGCCATTAAATCAACCATGAGGATACAGATCAATATCACAGAAAAGCAAAAAATCTACAACAAAAAAAAGGCCCCTTCACCTTACATGACTTTTGCCCTGCATGAGCGCAGCCTTTGGGTAGAATTAATGCAACAGGCTGATAAGCAAAGACCTGAGCATGTGCTGCTGCAACACAGTGAACCTTATGAAACCTCATTCAGACAAATCCACCACAGACATGGATTGTGCAACGAATCCAAAACATTACATGTCTGAGGTCCTGTCCTCAAACTAAACATCTTCTCCTGGCCATGCGTCTGCAGACTTCAGCTGTGTTTGTGTTGTGCTCTTGATCACAGGGTGTTTGTTAACCGAAGTCTGACGCTGGAAAACATCAAATGCTATGGCTTTGACATGGACTACACGCTGGCAGGTACGTAACGGCGTAGAAAAGACTAAGGTCTTTCTGTGACTGAACTCTGTGGTGTTGAATTTTTCATTCTGGATTCACAATTCTCTCTTGAACAGGCCGCACAAGATATACTGGCTTTGTGCAAATGTTTTTTCTGTGTTTCTGTGTTTATTTGCAGCATACAAGTCTCCTGACTACGAGAGCCTGGGCTTTGAGCTGATAAGAGACAGAATGGTGTCTATTGGATACCCGCATGAGCTTCTCCGCTACACATACGACCCCAGCTTCCCCACACGGTTTGTTCTTAAATCTGCCTCTGTAACTGAAGATTCAGGAATAAGTCATTACATTGTACAGATGATGTAATCAGCAACACACAGCAATTTATTTTATTTCTAAATTTAAGGATAACCCCCATGAAATGAACTATCTTGTTTTCTATTGGGGTCCACAGACACAAAAACATTAATAATTAAAACAAAAAAAAAAACAAACAAACAAAAAAAAAAGATTTCAAACATTTTGAAATTACATCATAAAGCCAGAAGTTGGTATAAAATAAGCACAAAACATCTCTCAGGTCATGTCCTGATAACCTTGTTCTCATTTTGCTTTTCCCTCTTTTTTCTTTTCCACCTTTAGCGGTTTAGTGATTGACACCACATACGGGAACCTCCTGAAGGTGGACTCGAATGGGAACATTTTAGTCTGCAGTCACGGCTTCCACTTCCTCAAAGGGTAAAGTTTAAACTTTTTTGGCACACTCTCTCTTGTACTGCTACTTTGTAATGGACTTCTTTACCTGTGAATTTTGGAGCTCAGGTAAGGGCAGACAAAAACAGGGAGGAAGACAGAGAGAAAGGATGAAGATGAATATAAAAAAATAAAACATGTTTAACAGGCAAATTTTTTCAAATAGCATTTAAGTGTTACTATTAGTACATTTAATTCTAGTTCTGTAGAATTTTGAGGAAATTGTTAAATACTTGTGTATGATCGTGCTTTCCAAAGAATTTTCAGTTATGCCCTCAGGCCGGTGTAATTATGTGCCTGAACGGAAAACTAATCGCAATGCAAAATCCTTCATTCCTTCTGCTATCAGGCTACTAAATGCTCTGAATGCATAATCCGGCTGGTAAATTTCTTAATTTCTTTTTCACCTGGCTCCTCATGGAAGCCTACACACACATGGGGCGTCTGGAGAGAGCCAGAGTGGGGTCTTGGTCTCTTGGTCTCTGTTGTAGCATGCTGCTGATCTGTGTGTTGTCACTGGCATGTTGTTGTTGATGTTTGACTGCTGATGTCAGCTGATGTACTTTTTATTTACTTTTTTTACTCTTTATATGGATGGGTTAGATTGTAGAAATGAATTTCCCCTCAGGGATTAATAAAGTATTCTGAATCTTAATCTGAATCTAAATCTAAATCTTGATGCTTTTAATCACAAGACCTTATGAAGAGTTGTTTTTATGGCCCTGAGATTTAAATTTATTTATCACTTATGTGTGTGCTTTTGTATACTGACTTTTATTATGTTTGTGTTCAACAGAGAAGACATTCACAACTACTACCCCAACAAATTCATTCAAAGAGATGACACTGACCGCTTTTATATTCTGAACACACTCTTCAATCTGTCAGGTGGAAAATTACAGTCATCATAAATTTCAGTTATACTTTACTGTGTATTTCCATTAATAAATTAATACTTTATTTGTCAGAATTTTAAAACAAATCAAAAAAAGTAAGCTTATATATGATATAAGCAAATTAAAAATGTTAACCGACCGCCCTGTGTTTCCATGGACCCTGCAGAGACTTATCTCTACGCCTGCCTTGTGGACTTCTTCACCAGATGCACCAGATACACAAAGTGAGTTTTATTACCTCCATGAGTTTGTCTGTTCGTTGTCCCAGGTTCCTTCTGTTCCTTCTTGTTCCCACAAACTTCCAACTGTCTTTCTCTGCTGTTAAATGTCTTCCAGCCTCCTGAAAGGTTACCAGCACGGCGACTTGTTTATGTCCTACAGAAGCATGTTTCAGAATGTCCGAGATGCGATGGACTTCATTCACGATACGGTTAACTAACAAAATTTATACTGAGACTTATATAGGAAATACTACAGATGAACGTGTCTACTTGTAATCATACTTTGTCTGTATATTAAATGTGATATCTGTGTGCTGTGTAGGGAATCCTGAAAGAACGAACTATCAAGAATTTGGAGAAATACGTTATCCAAGATGTGAGTTAACTGCCATCATGAAGCACCAATTTTATTTTATTTTTGACAAAAAATGGTTGAAATCTTGAATGGACAAATGTTTTCATTCCAGGCAAATCTTTCTGTGCTCTTGACTCGGATTAAAGAGGTGGCCAAGGTCTTTCTTGCCACCAACAGTGACTACAGCTACACTGAGGTGAGCATATAAAAGTGTCTTGTACCGTCACTAAACACACAAATTATAGGAAAATAAAGTAGAGTTGTTCAAATTTATTCTAACAACATGTTTTTTTTGCCTTCTCCATCAAGGCCATCATGAAATATCTGCTTGAAAGTAATACTAAGGTAAGTCCGTTTTCATTTTGATTTAAGTTTTTGGAAAATATCACAACTCATGTGAATTTAATTTATTCTTCAATCTAGTCTGGAAGTCCGAAAAAGTCCTGGCGTTCCTTCTTCGACCTCGTCGTTGTGGACACCAAAAAGCCGCTGTTCTTCGCAGAGGGGACTGTGCTGAGACAAGTGGACACGGTATGAAAGAGTCTGTCGTACTGCAGATTTACATATTAATGTTGACCAACAGAAACTTTCAAATAATACGTTGTATTTCGGACACAGGACACGGGAAAGCTTCGGATTGGGACTTACACAGGCGACCTCCAGCATGGAACTGTGTACTCTGGAGGTGAGATTCAGTGTACTTAGTATGAGTTGTAGAAGCAGTTCATTACTTTTACTGTGATTAAGCAAAGTGAAAGAACGCTTCTTTCTTCTTTAGTTGCTCTGAACAGTTTTGAGTATTTAAGCCTTAGAAATGAGAGCTGAGATAGACGGGTAAATTCAACACTGAATGGTAAAGGAGAATACTTACCCCAGTGCAGTTTTTAACACACTAGGTGATTATTCATATGTCCAGTTTTGCCCTATTAGGTATGTAGTTTACCAGGCAGAAGGTCAATGAGGCTTTAAGAAAATAGTGCAGCACATGGGTCTTGACTCCCACATGTTTATTATTAGGGTGTGACTGTAATTTGAGTAAAGTTTTGGGTTTGGAAATTAAGATCACACATAAGGAAATATAATTAGACTCCAAAGTGCATTCTCACTCTTCACACACACCTAGAAAATAATTGTGTATTGTAAGGAAGTAAAGAAAGGCCTTCAGGTTTTACATTTTTATAAGTAGCTAAATTGTAAAGTCACTAATAAATACCTAGTGTTGAAATTTAAATACAACGGAATTGATTAAAATACTGAAATATTTTATTTAAAAACCAGTTTCATTTCTGTGGCTCGAAGTCCACTCTCTCCAGAAGGTCTTCAAGTAGTGAAAAAAAAAGATGCAAAATGTCTGGGGTTTCCACTCCCTCTTCTGAGTTTTTTCTTTTTCTTGGATCATGTGACTGACAGAACGTCACCTGATAGGACAAAGGTCTGTAGATATCCTGCAGCTAGATGTTCAAGTTTAAATTTTACATCTTGAATTTTGGTGTCTTAATTTAACCAGTAAAATTTAATGAGATTTTTTTAGGCTGGGACTAGAATTTTCCAATTCAAAAATGACCAAAAGAATTGTAGCAACTTGAATATAGTTTTAATTTAAGTTTTCAACAATGGAAATGTTGTTGTGTTGTGTGTTCGAGTTTGTGAACCGTAAACACCTCAATTACTTTCAATTGAGTTTTGTGCAGTTTGAACTTGGAAAAATTTTAATTTCTAAAATGGGAATTCAAACACATGGACGAAGATGTTTTTTTTTAAAAGAACATTATTTCAATGCTATGAATTAATTGTTACTCAAATTTCAACATTAAATATTTTGTAGTTGCTAATTTTCACAACTAGATATTCAGTTGTTAAATTATTATGACCTTTTTTAGTCTCTGTATGCATGTGTGTTTTTATGTGTACATGTGATGTGGGTCTATTTGTACATTCTTATAATTTAATTTCTCATCCATGTTGTTTCATTTTGTATTTCCTGGTTGCAGGATCCTCTGACATCGTCTGTGATCTGCTGGATGTCAAAGGTAAGAACATTCTCTACGTTGGAGACCACATCTTTGGCGACATCCTCAAATCTAAGAAACGTCAGGGCTGGAAGACTTTTCTGGTCGTACCGGAGCTCACCAAGGAGCTGCACGTGTGGGAGGAGAAGAAAAGTAAGAATGAATTGACAACATCGTGCCGTTGTGCTATCGTGATGGTTTTGGTTGGATTCAAAGTCGTGATGGCTTTCTTGGTTTTCAGATCTATTTGAGGAGCTGAAACGTCTCGATGCCTTCTTAGCTGAACTTTACAAGTGAGTTTATTTCCATCTGGACTTTATTCTGACATAATTAACACTTATTTATAAGCCCTTTGTAAACAGATGGTTCATGAATTAATAATGAGTTTGTGTGGAATCAATGAATACATTATAATCTATGATTTATTATTAGTACTCTAAGAGCTAAGTGTCAAATAATTAACATTATTTCATAGTCAAGAAAACTTTTAGTGATTCATAATTTGTAAATGTATCTACTGCAGGGCATGAAAAATGCAACCTGTTCAGGATGGTTGTGGATCATGTGTTAATGATTCACAAACAACAAATAAGTCATTCATCATCAGCACTCGATACCTAAATGATAAAGAAATCAATCACTTTTTCTTCCAAAATATTTGTCGGAAACGAACAAATCTTTTAAAGGGTTGGTGATATTTTGCAGTGTCTGATTTAAACTGCAAAAAAAGACATTTATTTAGCATTCAGTTAAGTCTAATAACAATTGCTGCCATGATTTTAGCATTTTCTTGTTAACTTTCTACATGAAGTACAACAGTGTTACATGATGTGACGCAGCAGCTGTTAACTGTCCTCTGTGTTTGTGGTTTGAAGGCACCTGGACAGCGACAGTCGAGAGTGTCCCGACATCAGCGGCATTCACACCCGAATGAAGGTAGTCACACATGAGGCAGATCTTCAGTAAATAGACAAATAGCCAGAGGAGGTGCTTCAGCAGTTATTTTAACTTAATCAATTTTAATAGGTTGTCCTGTTTCTCTCTTATTGCTGAGTACGTTTAAACTGCCCAAAAACAGCTTCACTGTAAACGCATCAAGATGTTACAGAACATTTGGTATGACGATACGATGGTAATAATTTCAGAATGCGTTATTGCAGCAGAAACAAAAAACAGGATGTCTGTCATTAAACTGAGCAGTGGTGTTTCAAATTGTTTTCTTGTCTTCTTACACTCTGTCCAGGCTTTGTTTCTGATGTGGCTATTTGTTTGTGCTTGCAGGTGCTGAACTACAGACTGGACATGTCCTACGGCCAGATGGGCAGCCTCCTGCGCAGCGGCTCCAGACAGACGCTGTTTGCCAGCCAGCTGATGCGTTATGCAGATCTTTACTCCTCCACCTGCATCAACCTGCTGCACTACCCCTTCAATTACCTCTTCATGGCTCCTCCAGTTCTGGTCAGTTGCTCAAACACCTGCACAGAAAATAACTTGTTGTTACGTTGTTTTGTAGTTTATCATGGTGGTCGTTCTTCATCTCTCACTCATACTGTTCCAGATGCCCCACGAGGCAGCATCTCAACACTCCACAGACTTTGATTCATCAGAGCTCACTACTGTCACCAACCATACTGTCAGAAACTAAGGTCATTACCATTATGATGCACTACTAGCATTTTATATCCTCTTAAATTCTGTTTATTGTTATAGATATAGTTAAAGATTCAGTTGTTCACATTTTTCTCTCGCAGTGCTGAAGACAGGTGCCCGAGATGAGACAGAAGAAGAACATGTGAAGCCTCTGCAGAAAACTTCAAATATGCTTCTACTTGTCACAGACAGTTCTCACTGATGAAGGTGACTGTTTGCACCTGAGCATGTAGGAAGGGTTTGTAGCAGCCATGACGTGCCACCTTTAAAAAAAAAAAAAAAAAAACAAACAAAAAAAACAAAAAAAACCCCAATCTCCTGCTCCACCTGCTGCGTATGAATTGCATTGCCGTAACGTTTACCAGATAAACCTTTAAAGCATGTTGAGATTTTAGAATTTGGGGCAAGAACAGACTCAGGGTTACTGTATATATGAGTGCAAATTTGTCTTAATTTGTTTAATATTTACATGTGTTGCATGTGCACTTTTGATCTGAGGTTTGTGTAATGGTTTTTAACTTTATTTATTTGTTGTTTGAGCAACTTCTAGTGAATTATCTCAATAAATTGTTCATATTATGTTTTCATTGTCTTCACTGAAGTACGACAACTAAGCATGTAGGTGTATATGGTACAAGAGGATCTTGGCTAATATTGAAAGATGTGCTCACATAGTCATTTTATATTGTGTTAGTGGCTTTTGAGACACATGCAGACAGTTTTCACTGGGGCTATTTGTTTTGTTGAAAGTAGCTCCAGTGAAAACAATACTGTGTTTTGTGGAGTACCTTGAGTAACCAGGACACTGTTTGCTCTGAGTGCCACAAACAAAAATCCATAGCTGTTTAATCCGGGTTAATAAAGCCAGAGCTACAAGTAGAAGTTAATAGAAGCAAGTTAAGTTAGTCTCATTTGCGTGAACCGTCCCTTTAATTGATTTATTCTTGTTGATGGTGGTTTCGTTTCCTTTCTTGTTCCCTTTCCTTTCCTTTGGTACTACAGCTGTTGTCCACTGGATGGCAGTGAATCACCTCTGCAACAAACCTGCAGGTCGATCCTTGTGTGTGAACTGACTAAATGAGTCAGGATTATTCTATACTCACTGCAAACAAGTCTAAACTTTTACCCGATTAAATATTTTTTTAATCTCCATTTTGCGATGAATCACCGTGGTAATTGTAAAATACAGTAAAATATGTGTTCTCAAAAAGCTCAACAGTAAATACAGCAGCTCATCTCCTGGCAGGCTTTAAATCGATGCATATCTTTGTGTTTCTCCTTATAAAACTCAGCTTATTTTGCTCTTGTCGTAGTGGCGGCAGATGTTAGTGTCAGCAGCCTTCAGCAGTATCTTCACTCATCGGCAAAAGCAGGGAAATAATCAAAGTGTGATATTTGTGCTGCCTTTACCACACGAACCACAGTGTGCACTCACATACACACGCTGCAACACACACACACTGCAACACACACACACGCACAAACCTGTGAATTATTGTAATACACACAGTCTGTATTTACCTCTTCTCTTATTCTCTGTTTGGTTCAGACAGTCCTGCTCCCACGAGAGCTGAACCGTTATCAAGAGATAGCCGAGAGGAATTTGTTCTCTCTCTCTCTCTGTCTGTCTCTCTCTCTATATACACACACACACACACACACACACACACACCTTACTGCATGATATCAGTGCTCACATGTGATTATGTATGTTGTTTTTTTTTTCCACACAGGAAATGATACATTGTTCTTGCAGGGCTGAAGTGTGAAGAGTATCACAGTTTTCCTGCTGTGCTCCTGCAGCTTATTCATGCAGCATCACATGAATTCCACTCTGCAGAAAATCTCTATAATAGCCATTTACCGCTTGAATGGTATTGATCTTTGATATTGATATTGGAGATGAGGATATGAGGAGAGGAAAGGAAAGGAGGGGCAGTGGAAAAAGTCAGTGATCATGATGAAGCTTTCACTGATGTTGATAAACAGTTTAAACTTTAAAGACATGGGTGGAAAGAAACAAAAACGTCATTCTATCTCTATCATTCGTCTTTTACTAAAAGGTTTCTAACTCTACGTACAAGTGCATTCAGAAATAGCTTTTCAAGCGCAAACTATTCCAACATAAGGACGTATTGACAGGATTCATTCATTACTATTCCCTGTCAGTGAAGGTCTTTGGATTTCCAGACTCTTGCTGCTGTATAGTCTTTCAAATAAAACATGAGAGGAAAGTCCAAATTAGGAAACACCCACTGCATTTATTGGCACCTCCTCCTTGTACACACACACACACACACACACACACACGTTTCCTAGATGATTTCATTTCCTGAATGAGAGCTATTTCGGTTTATTTGGATTTCCCTTGTCATTGTCTGCTTGTCACCTGGATTTATTGTTGTTGTCTGTTTCTTTTTTTTCATTTTATTCATTCCATTTATCATGTTTTATTTTCTCACCTGCACAAATTACCTACCATTTCATCCGTGTTTTAAATAGCTCATCCACTGTGTTTTGTCCCTGTGCACATAAACTAACCTCGGTGCTCTCTGACATTTGATGTTTAATGACACATCTTAATAATCCCCATCTGTGTTTTGATACAATGTTCTTTATTTAAACTCTCATTATATCATTTATTATTCATTATATCAGTGAATGATTATGTCAGTCGTCAAATGTAGCCAGATCACTGACTCTGCACTACATCTCCTGTCCTTTGGATGGCATTAAACTGCCACTCTGCAGACCTGAATTAAAAAAGAAAAAGAAAAAAGCAGAAGCCCATGTGGAGTTACCTACATGTATGAAGATAGACAGCACATTTTTATCTTAACTTGTCATCTGAATTCATCTTTTAACAGACCAAATTGTTGTGACAAACTGTAGGAAATTACGTGAAGTATATCACAGTGTTGAAGGTAATATGTGTAGTGTATTGTGCTTCAAAAATCTTCAACTATTGTGAAAAAAAAACAAACAATGATTTTGGCCCTCAGTGTAAAAAGACTGTTATTTTTTCTGTGTCTTTATGTCTTTTGTGTCTTATAGGAGCTAAAGCTTTAGAAGAGAGAGAGAGCTAAAACTGGCCTTTGGTCACACACATATCCAGATACACACACACACACACACACACACACACACACACACCTTTTCTTACTCTGTGACCCCCCTCCCCCACTGCTTCCCCACAACACAATACACACTGTGACTGTGTGAAAAGTATCAGTTTCTCTGTTCTGTTGTTTAGAGTTTCACCCACATGTCACTCTGCACAAATATCTGTTTACCCTCCAATAATAAAGTACCTAATAACACCTTTAATAATGATTTGAACATAGAGGAGGAGAGAGGATGTCGGTTGTTTGGTCCAGTGCTGAGGATGTCCCTGAACAAGATTTCAATTTGATTACATCACAAAACATGAGAAAACATTTTTTGCAAAGGATTTCCCAGAGATAGAAACTGTGACTATTAAACCAAAACTGATAGTGTGTGTGTTTGTGTTTGTGTGTGTGTGTTCCAGAGAGAGAGTGACTGGTGGCTCAACCTCAAAAATATAAATCAGTTATCAAACTATAAAAGGCGGCAAATCATCAAAGCAGTTGGCATCTGTACAGATCCATATTTTATTAAAATCGTTGCTGAAGCGTTTCAGCCGGAGGCCTTCTCACCAACTTTTGGTTTTCAGCATAATTAGCATTTTATGTTGTGGAATATTATTTAGAGTGTAAACCATTTTAGCTATTAAAGTTTAAACATTACACTTTGTTGACCTTTTTAGCTTGTAATTTTCTCTTTCAATTTCCCCCCTTTCTTTAAATTCAAGAAAATCAAACCTAAGACATTGTGGTTTCTTTTTGTTTTTTTTAGCTGTGCCGTAACATCTAATGTACATATCTTAGAGATATTAAGCTTACATTTTTACAATCTTTCACAAATTTCAATTTGAGTATTTGATGTCTTTTTCACTGTAACTAGAAATAAACGTATGTGTTTGAACAAAGTTTGACTTCACATTATGAGTTTATAAGAGTTAAAACGATGCTGTAAGTTCATTATGAGGTAAAAAGAAAAAAAAAACATTTATTGGGTGACATCAGTGATCATTAAAAACACACTAACAGAACTTTTCTCACACTGTATTTTAATTTTCTTTACAGATCAGGCCAGAGATGTCCATGTTCAGGTAAAAATAAGTTTTCATTTCAAACATTTTCATGGAGTGATAAAGGTTCTTTTTTCCCCAGTTTAGTTTATTTATTCTTGTTTTCTAATTCTTTCACACACTGGTCAGTCAGCCATAAAGGTGTCAGATTGGCTGTTTGAAGTCTATATCAGATTTTTACATCTGATAATCTATCAACTGATTTCATTTTAAATGTTTTTCCAAGAAAAAATGCAACAACTCAAAACATGAATTTAATCATCTTTATTCAGATAGAAGGTGGCAGAGACAAATATCAGCTTTCTTTCATCAAAAATAAATTATATAAAATAAATGTACATGTGAATATGTTTATTCCAAATTCAGGTCAAATGTTTGCATCACAGCTTTTCTTTTCCGCCCCACACCCCCAACAGATTCTCTTACACTGATTTAATTTATGTGAAAAAAAAAAAAAAAACTTAATTAACTTTAGCATTAACAGTGTAATGAAAACACATCCACTCATGAACAGCAGGCCCATAAACACATTACAAAAGGGGAAAAAAACAACATTTGCTTTATGTGAAGCAGTTTGAGTATGTTGTGTTTTATGTATTTAATGAAATGCAGATGTCATTATCTCATTATCTTTCACTCTCTGTAGTTTAATCTGCACTGTGGCTTCTCAAATTCACATTTAAAGCTGCTCAAAAAGCACCGCTGACATGTTGGGTTTCATTGCAGGATACTTGCTGCTCTGTGCAGTCAGATAACTGCAGAAGCACCACCGTCCCCCATTCCACACATTCCAGGATTTCCCAGCAAGCATTGCAAGCAAGCCTAAACAAGTCACGTTCTTTACTCAGGGAGAATTTCACACAGGCAAGTGACTGAGGTCTCCTTTTGCTTCCCTTTCAGTGTGCAATCATTTAAATATACTTTTACATCTGAGTCACTCTTTCCAAAATTCAAGTGTATTTTCTTTTTTCTTTTTTTTTTTACATACTAAGACTTTAGAAAGTGGCTTCACTACACAGTCACAACAATCTTTCTTTTACCTGAAACATTGTACTGCAGCACAGTAATCTGTGCTCCAAAACTATGTTTCCTTTCTGTTTTTAATAATTACTCGTGTCCTTCTGCAGCAGCTTGTAACAGCAACTGGACTGTGGTTAAACATTTCCACCCAGAGAGGTCTGCCGACAGTCATCAAAACAAACAAACCTCTTTACTCTCTTACTTTAGGGTTCAAACATGAGGCACACACAGGAGCAGTGACACCTAATCTCAACACAGAAAAGAAAGAAGGAGAAGAGAAGGAAAACACGCGAGGGGGAGAGAGGGCCTTGCTCCCTACATTCCTCCCAAACGTCCCCTCCCCCCATCGACCTGCTACCACTGAGGATGCTCAAAAACACACATCAACCTCTCCCCCACCCTTCTTTCTTTTCTTTTTTTTCACCCCCATCTGCTTATTTTACCATCACTGATACACACTGTCACAGTGTTTGGTGTGACGACAAAAACGACATA